TATTTGAGTCCTTGGACCTTTAGGGCTCTGAACCCGAAATCCCCATGCGCTGGAAGAACATCTGAGTGTGCAAGGTTATCCTGGTGACCCAGATGCCAGTGTAATGGCGAGCTCTGAGTGCAGTGTCCATTGATAGAAGTCATGGAAACCTTGTAGGAAGGGGCCTGGCGGATGAATTTTCAAAGACCCCGAGGTGCGATGCTGGCAGGCGAGACAGGAAAGTCTTTTGATCAGTTTGCGTGTGCTTATTAAGAAGCACAGCTCTGGCCTCGTGGGTTTTCCACACAGGCTAGAAAAGATCCGTGAGACTCAAAAACAGTAACCCCTCAACCTGAACCCCTAAACCCTAATTAAGCCCCAACCCTGAAACCCCAAACTCTGAATTCTAAGCCCTTAACAACCCTTAACCCTAACCCCCACATCTGAAACTCCAAGCCCCGGGTCTTCAAATTTTGAGAAGGCAAAACTGGCACTGGCCACGCAGTTCGACCTTGTCGGCGTCACGGAAAGGACCCTGGAGCAGGGACAGAACAGCTGTTTGTTGAGTTATGGTTTGGGTTCAGGGTTTAGATTTAGGGCCGAGGAGTTTAGGGAACAGGATTTAGGGGACTTAAACCCTAAACCCCAAATCCTAAACCCTAAACCGCATCCCATCATGTTTCATTTGCTGGACTCAGTAGAGGCAGGCAGAAACACAAACATACATGGAGGTTCAGGGAATTTACGACATAATTGGTGATATTTGGAGTTGGACCTTGTCCCGCTTCTGTTTGGGGCAACCCATGTAGTGCTGGTTGGATCAAGTATAAGCATGTACGCTCATTACGCATGTATATCTAGTGAGTCTACCGAGTTTACAGGTGTTCCCTGCCCGCACCAAAAGGCAGAAGTTGCCCATGTATTTCTCAAAATCCCCCTAGGTATTACCCTACGACCCCACCACCCCGAGCTTGGAACTAAACTCTAACCCTAAACCCAGGTGGGACGATCTTGAAGCCTAGGGATGTCCTAAAATCATGGTTTAGGGTTTAGAGTTCTGGGTGTAGGGTTTAGGGTTTATTGTAAATCCCAAATACAAACAGCTAAGAGCATTTCTTGGGTAAATTCTTTCCTACAGCTGCAGCACGGGCTTCAACAGTAAGAACAGGGTTAGGTGGTATGTTTTACCATAAGGATGGTGAGGCTACACTATTGCTGCTCCTACCTTACCTCACAAACCACGTACATAAACCCGTGGCCCGAGACCCTCAACTAACCGAAGTAGCAAGAGGAACCCCTTGGCTAAGGGTTTTGATTTGGGTTAGGATTCAGGGTTTAAGGGGTTTAGGGTTGGCTCTACTGCGATTGGTACTAAAACTGCTCCATGATTTTGGTAAACTGCAATACCATAGTTCATTCACAGCGGCATAAGGTATTCATGGTCAGGCAGGAGTTTATGTATCCCTGTCCGGATCTGTGCTTTTGCTTAGGGCTTAGGGTTTTGTATGATTTCACTCTAGAGGTTGTGAACACTGGCCCCCTCAAGCCCAAGACCTACGCCCTAAACGCCAAATCCTAAAACCTACACGCTGAACCCAAAGCCCTAGAACCTAAACCCCA